GCACACATGTGCATGGCATGCAGAACACAGGCTAAAAGGAATTGAAGGTTGCAGGGTAGGTATTACCTCTCCATTGATTATATCGATGACAGACTCAAAAACGCTGACAGGAAGCTGTAAGACAGATGGAGGCAACTCTTACTAAGAGCAAATGCACTTGAACTAACACACGTGCCAGGCTGGCCTCGAAATCACAATCCTGCCTCAACTTTCTCTAAAACTGATTACAAGTATGTTGCCACACTTGGCTCACCTTTTCTAATTTCCCCCAAAACCTACTGGAATAGGTTTTACCCACATTACACACATATCTTAAGTGCCACTTAAGAGATGATGTCATACAACAGATGCGTAAATAGCAGCATGGAGATTCAACTTAAGCATTCACTAATACAGATGATGTCACAGAGTAAATTATAGCAGAGCATAAGGATCAAAAGCAGGCATAGCGGTATATGATCAAGACAGGGGACACAGGGCCAGCAATACTCACATCTGTGTGCTTGGTCATGGGGTTCAACTTCAGAAAGAGGGGACTCTCGATTATCTCGCATACCTGAAAGAAGAGAAGGCCCAGAAAAAGTCAACTTTTCTTCCTCCTATCTTTTGTTCTCTTCCCCAACACGTACACATTTGAGCCTGTATACCTGCTTATGGACGTGGATGTCGGAGGGATCAGGTGGCCCCCCTGTGGTATACCAACCCAGAAACTCCAGCTCCTTGAACACCTGTTTAACTGGAGAAGGGGCCAGAGTAAACAATCTTTCTTTAAACCACGATTGCTTCGTTTCATGAACCTGGTGTATTTCTTTTTTTTTTTTTTTTTTTTTTTCTTTACCACCTCTTCCCTCCCTCCTCAAATTTTGGCTCAGTTTGGAGTAACCGCCATTGCTCATCCTTTACTTGCTGAAGATAACCTTTTACTTCTGACCCTCCTGTCTCCATCTTCTGGTTTGTAATGGTACTTGAGGACTTAACTCTGAGCTTCCTACACGTTAGGGCAAGCACTACACCCACTGTCTTACATCCCCACACTTTTATCTTAAAACCAAACCAAACCAGCCCACCACCACACACAAGAAGGTCTTCCCATTTCATTTCGATTTCCCACCCACTTCTCCCCTCTCACACTGCTCCTCCTTGGTGTAATAATATTCCTTGTCAATGATAATCTTCTCTTCCACGGTGTGGGACAGCAGCTCAAAGGAGTTCATCACTTCGATATTTCGCCCCTCCTGCTTCCCGATCAAAGCTCCAATCACTGAGAGGAGAAGCACACGAAAGACAGGTGAGAACAGGCATACAAAATCTTTCCTAATAACCCGAGACTCTGAGGTCAGTGTGAATCAATGATTGGGGAAACTAATTTGGAAGAAGTGGGAGTCAGAGGGAAAGTGATTGGAGGAGGTCTCCAAGAGGAGGGCTTGAGATTTACACACAACACTCACCCTGCATAGGCCGCCCCTCCTGGGAGCGCATGCGGATCCAGTGGTCTGAGATGTTGAGGATGACAAGGGGATGAAGAGCGACGGAAACACTCCCAGTCACTCCAGAGGCCATCACGCTGGGAACTGTTAGAGGTGAAAGGAAAACATAGCGGCTGAAAGCTCGGGCCCACACATTTTCTCCTAGACATGGGAGTAGGGGACCGGCAGAGCGGGGCCGTCCATCCCTGCCCTCAAGTTATCCTGGGAGAGATGTCGCTTCTCCCAGGTTTAAGAAGTACTCAAGATACTCCATAAGGGCGACGCCAGAAGTCGCTCCGCACAGCCCGTTACCTGCTGCATCCACCTCCATGCCGCTGCTGCCTCCGCTCCCGTTCGCCGCCGCCGCCGCCGCCATTTTCCCCGCGCCCGCCAGCCACGGCCCGCCCCCTTCCTTCCCGGCTTCCGTCGGCGTGCAGCGCATACTCAGTATGTGCTTGGCGCTGCTGAAGGGCGGGGCGTCTGCCAGTACTTGGTAGTCCTGGACGTTGGAGAGTGAGTTGTTCTGTGTTGCTGTTGCTGTTAGCGGTTCTCATGTAACCCAGCGTGGCCTTGAACTCTGTATTGCGTATCTGAGGATGACTTCGCGCTTTGATCCTCCTGCTATCACCTCCCAAGTGCTGTGATTACAAGTGTGCACCAGCAATCCCTGGGATTTTATGCTCGAAACACAGACGTTCTGAGTCACTAGGCCTTGCTTGGGTCAACCAGAAGTCACTGGAGAGTAGGACTGTTAGTTTCCAGAGAGACAGAGAAAATTGCAAGGCTGTTAGGATGAGGAAAGCAATTTATTCAAGATATTAGACTTTTTCATGTTGCATGTAATCTGTATGCAGGGACTTAGTCACGTGTTTGTGTATCCCAGTAGGCTGGGAACTTAATTGCTCTTAGAGCAGGCTGACTTCAAACTCACAGAAATGCACCTGCTTCCTGATTGCTATGATTAAAGGCGTGCGTGTGCCACTATGCTCAGCAAGCCTAGCTTGTGTGTGTGTGCTGGGGATTAAACTCAGGTCCTAACATGTTACTCATTGAGCCACCTCCTCAGCTGTGACTACTTAGGTGCTTCGGTGAGAGGGCAACCTAACTCCTTACACAACTTAGTGACTGCTACTGGGAGGACTTTGGACACACAATGGGACGGGTGCCAGGTGACTCTGGGGCCACACTGGTGTGGGCATCTTCTGCTTTCTGGCAGAACTTCTTCAGTAATTGTCTTAGGGTCTCTACTGCTATGAAGAGACACCATCACCATGGCAAATCTTATAAGGAAAACATTTCATCGAGGGGGCTTACTTACTTTCATAGGTTCAGTCTATTACCACCATGGCAGAGTATGGCTGCTTGCAAGCAGATGTGGTGCTGGAGTAGCTGAGAGTCAACAGAAAGTCAACTGACAGTCACACTGATGGAAGTTTGAGCAAAAGAGACCTCAACGTCCACCTGCCCGCCCAGCGAGCCACTTCCTCCAACTAGGCTACACCTCCCAATAGTGCTATACTCTTTGGGAACCATTTTCTTTCAAACCACAATAGTGATCAAGCAACCTCATAGAAAGAAATCTCCACCATGGGGGTTGGAGAGATGGCTCAAAGGTTAAGAGTGCTGGCTGCTTTTACAGAGGTCCTGAGTTCAATTCCCAGCAACCTCACAACCATCTACAATGAGATCTGGTGCCCTCTTCTGGTGTGTAGGGATGTAGGGAGAACACTGTATACACAATGAATAAGTAAATATTAAAAAAAAAAAAAAAGTCTCCACCATTTTTCAACAGTCAAGCAGTCATGCAAAGGACTCTAGCCATCAAGCAAACCACATAAGAGAAGCCTTTATCATGTCTGATTGTACCAACAGGAAAGGTGTTGTGGTTTGAGTAAGAATGTCTCCAAACAGGCTGGAGAGATGGCTCAGAGGTTAAGAGCATTGGCTGTTTTTCCAGAGGTCCCAAGTTCAATTCCCAGCACCTACATGGCAGCTCACAACTGTCTGTGACCATATATTTGAATACTTAGTCACCAGAGAGTTGCACCATTGAAAAAGAAGAATTAGGAGGTGTGGCTTTAATGGCAGAAGTGTTACTGGGGTTGGGCTTTGAGGTTTCAGAAGCCCATGCCAAGCCCAGTCTCTCTCTCTCTCTCAGGATGTAGCTCTCAGCTACTACTCCAGTGCCTGCCTGATACTACTCTCCCAGCCATGATGATAATGGACTGGCCTCTAAAACTGTAAACAAGACCTCAACTAGATGTTTTGTTTTTATAAGAGTTGCCTTGGTCATGGTGTCTCTTCACAGCAATAGAATGGTGACTAAGACAAGTGTGTTTCCTCGTTGGATCAATAAATGAGGTTAAGCTGCCCGCTTACATAGCTAAGAAAGAGTATTTGGCCCACAGTCATAGGATTTGTTTACCAATCACAGTCACTGAAGTGTGTGTCCTAAGCTAGTCCTTCCACTGGGGAAGGGCTCCCTTTCTGTTGAGGTGGAAACAACTGCAGGTTCATATATTTCTGTGGGGCCTGTGACAGCAAACTATCTGGTGGCAACTGTCACACACACAGGTGGCACTAAGCCTTCAAAAGCTTGGGAAATCCTCTGCAGCCTTTCCGTAACTGACTCAGCCTCTGTTGAGTGTCCCAGACAGCTGGTACAAGGCTAGTCTGGCTAGCTGTGAGACAATAGTCCTTTTGGTCAGGGCAATCTGGGCAGTGAGGGGAAAGAGTACAATAGATGCTAACTGGGGAGTTAAATTGCCCTATTCCCAGTGTCTTTGGTTACTTACAGGAAAATAAACATTGGAGAGTTTTTATGCTATAAACTTAAAGAGGTTACCATTAGAAGAAAAACAAGACAAAGGAATGTTAACACTGATATCGATTTAACACTGTTTTAAAAATGCTTAACACCTGTCTAGGACCCAAGGAGAACTCTTCATCTGTGTCAGAATGAATTTTTCAGATGTTAGTAATTTACAGGAGATAATTTTCATTTACTTTGTTTATTTTGAGTGTGTGTGTGTGTGTGTGTGTTTGCACGAATGTGCACAAGCGCTTACACTCATGCATGCCAACCCAAAAGCTAAGAATATCATCAGAGAGCATATGGGTCCTATAGAAAAGCTTGCTACATAGCTGGATGCTGGTGGCACACGCCTTTAATCTTTAATCCCAGCACTTGTGAGGCAGAAGCAGGCGAATCTTAGTGAGTTCGAGGCCAGCCTAGTCTACAGAGTAAGTTCTAGGGCTGTTACACAGAAAAACCCTGTCTTGAAAAACAAAACAAATAAAAACAAATAAAACAAATCTTTAAAAAAAACTGACCTAAACCTTCAGCCCATGGTGCACATTTATATTAACAGATTCTTCAAGTTTCTTGTATTTGTTGTAGAGGTTTGGGAGATGGGTGATGCCTGGTCCCTACCCACCTACACGGGAACTTTGTGCCCTGAATTCCTTTTACGACCTGGCCAGCAGGTGACGCAGTCTGGAGCACTTGTTTTTCCTGCACACCAGTCTTTGAGTCAGCGAACCATCAGAGATGAAGACCTCCCATTTTCCTAGAGAGAGCAACTGGGCGTTCGGCTCACAGGGGTTGTAGTGGGTGGTGAAGAAGGACGACCCGGAAACGAAATGGGGAGGGGGAACTTCCGTTCTTTGTTCTGTTCTCGGTTGTGTAGGTTTGTGACAAGGTCCGCCAGGGCCAGGTTCGTGTCCGGCCCCCTAAGTCTTACGTCCCTGTCCCCAGGGTGAGTGGGGCCCTCTTCGGGACTCGCGGTGAGGCGGAAGTGTAGTCGCCGGGGAAGGGGGTTGGTGTTCACGCCTCTGCGGCCCGCGGGATCCCCGGCCGGGCTCCGCGGGGTCTTGGGCACTGGTTGAGCTGCGGCCGCTGCCCAGCTCCGCAGCCCCGGCTCCAGGAGTCAGCGGGTTCCCGCGTGTCGCGGATCGGAACTCCGGATCTGCTCGTGTCCTCCACCGCCAGCTCCAGTGTTTGAATTCCCAGCGTCGTAATAGAGGTCCCTCTCTTTAAAACAGCTGATGACAGACAGCCGTCCTAACTTGGTATTCTCAGTGCACCGGGTTGTTTTTTTTTTTTTTTTTTTTTTTTTTTTTTTTTTTTTGTGCTGGGGGCAGGAGAAGGAAGTTTGCTTTTCCTTAACTGGATCGGAGAGGGAGAGTAGCAGTGAGAACTAGAGCTCAGGAGGAGGTGTGAACTCGGGTCCTGCGGGACCTCACTAAGACCTAATGTCCTATAGATAGATAGGTTTTAGCTTACTGCCTGATACCCTTTCCTGGCGAAGATGTACAACGCTGGAGCAGACTCCTTGCAGAAAGTGGCTGAGTATATCCAGTACGTTTAGCTGACTAAGACACTAAGAACCTATATTGACCCAGAGAACCTTCAGTTCCTATCAGCTCTGTAGGGTGCAATGAAAAGATGGCTATGTGATGGTCTTCGTTGGTTATTAGCATATATTAGCATATACTCCCTTTCCCCACCATACCTCTCAAGCATCTGTATTAGAAATAAACTTCACGTGATTTTTCCATTTTGCTCCCTCACTCATGCAGCACGCGTATCATCTACAGCAGTAGTCCTCAACCAAATGCTGTGACCATTTAATACAGTTCCTCATGAAGCGGTGACCCAACCATACAGTTATTTTTGTTACTATGTCATAACTGTAATTTTGCTGTTATGAATTGGAAATACCTATATTTTCTGATGGTCTTAGGCAACCCCAAGAAAGGATCATTCAATACCCCCCGACCCCCGTTGAGAAATAAAATGAATTTCCAGGAATTAGCCAAGCGTGCTGGGTCATACCTTTAATCCCAGAACAGATGCAAATGAAGGAGTATGAATATAATTTTGAGGCCATCCTGTACTATACAGTGAATTCCAGGCTAGTCTGGGGTATGCCATGAGGGTATACCAATAAAGAAAGCCCAAAAATAAAATCCTAGGAACTGAACAAAAGGTGCCAAATTTCTTACTTTGCTACCTTACTCTTACAGGGATTAACTCCATAGAAGGGAGAAAGGGAGGGAAGCTTCGCTTGACCTGCCCTCACTGTGAAGTGGTCTTTCTTGGTCGTCCCCTCCCCCCAGCAGCTTGAGGGAGTGCAGTTGGCATCAGAGGAGATGAAATTCTCTACCCACACACAGATGACAGGAGTACTATGCAGACTTTCTATGAGAAACATTGTTTACTGACTCATACCTCACCAGTATGCCTTTGAGTTCCAGCTTCAATTAACCGAGCCTTGAATGGGGAATATTGCCTTTTACTCTTGTTTGTGTGTTGGTTTTTGAGACAGGTTCTCTCCACAAAGCCCTGTCTGTCTTAAACTCACTGTGGAGATCAGGTTGACCTTGAAGTTTGCCTCCCAAGAGCTGGGATCAAAGGCATGGGTCACCTTGCTCTGCTCACCTTTTATGTATCAGCCTTGCTGAGCCAGTGTGTGTGTGTGTGTGTGTGTGTGTGTGTGTGTGTGTTTCTTGAGATAGGGGCTGGGTTAGAGGGTTGGAACTCAATCCTGTCTGAGCCTCTCAGGTGCTGGGATTTCAGGCCTGCCTGTGCCACCCATGTCAGGTTGTTGATGTCCCCCCACCCCCACCCCGGCTGTCCTGAACTTGTTCTAAACCAGGCTGGCCTCAGTTTGGAGATGTGCCTGCCTGTGCCTCCCAGGGTTAAACACATATACTCCTGTTGCTGCACGCAGGATTAAAGGTGTGCAATGGTACCACTGCCGCTGCCACCTGGCTGGTTTGTCTTTTTAGAAGGAGATGATTTTTGTTGTTTTTGTCCTTTTTTTGTGGTGGGTGGGGTCTCATACCGTTGCTGGACTGTTGTTCTGTTTTTTTGTGGATGGGTGTTTTGATTGTGGGTATGTCATATGTATGCAGTGTCCCCTGAGGCCAAAAGAGGGCATCACATCCCCTGGGACTGGAGTTACAGATGGTTGGGAGCCACCATGTGAATGGTAGGAATCAAACCCTGGGTCCTCTGGAAGGGACCAGTGCTCTTAGACACTGACCATCACTCTGGTCCCCTGTTTGTGAGACAGGAGCTCATAAAGAGCCATGAGCTCCTATTTTTAAAAAGAGTAGGTGTAAAGTAATGTGAAGAAGGCTGCCACCTCATGAAAGGGGGAACAATTGGCTTAGTCGTTTTCATTTTTTTATTATATGTGTGGGTGCTTTGCCTGCATATATGTCTTTGCACCATATATGTGCTTGGTGCCTTTGAAGGCCTGAAGGCATTGGTCTTCCTGGAACTGGAGTTCCACATGTTGTGTGTTACAGCATTGGTGCTGGGAATCGAACTTAGGTCTTCAAGAAGAGCAACAAGTGCTCTTAACCACTGAGCTACCTCTCAAGTCCCAAGATAAGGCTTCTTTTTTTGAGACAGAATTTCTCCGTGTAGCCCTGGCTGTCCTAGAGCCCACTCTGTAGACCAGGCTGGCCTCTAACTCACAGAGATCTGCTGGAATTAAAGTTGTGCACTACCACTGCCCAGCAAGACAGGGTTTCTTGTAATACAGGTTGGCCTGGAGCTCCCGACACCTACCCCCCCTCAAATCTCTCTAGTGCTGGAATTACAGGTACATGCCACATACCTGGCTCAGGGTCAGTCATCTCATTCTGGTGAATGGTACCCACCTCATTGCTACACTTGTCACTCAAATGTTGGGTAGATAGAACAAAGTTTGGAAATCTGGATTCCTTGTGTGGTCTTATTACAGAAGTGCCCATATTCACATGGATCTAAAAGAGTATCCTGTGTGTTTCTCCTCACTATTCCTGTGTACTGAGATGCAATTCCCTCTCTGAAATCATGAGGTATTTCTTTTAAAGATTTACTTATTTATTATATATACAGTGTTCTTTCTACATGTATGTCTCCACACCAGAAGAGGGCACCAGATCTCATTACAGATGGTTGTGAGCCACCATGTAGTTGCTGGGAGTTGAACTCAGGACCTCTGGGAGAGCAGCTGGTGCTCTTAACCTCTGAGCCATCTCTCCAGCCCCTCAGGAGGCATTTTTAAAAGTCAACTTTGATCTTTTTGCCTCTGCAGTGCTTCTTCAAAACCTGCTTTCTGCTGAGTCTGTCTGCAGCTAGGAGACCATCGAGCGCAACATTTTACTCTACCCATGGAAACTCAGGCTGACCTTGCATCTCAGGAACCTCCCCCTCTGCTAGAAAGTGGTAAGATGTGGGGTTGGGAGAGGGGTTGTTTTCATCTTTTTCTGTTGTTTACTTGCTTGTGTCTTTGTTTTCCTTTGAGACAGGGTCTCACTTTGTTGCCATGGCTAACCAGAAACTCACTTTGTAGGTTGATCTGAACATCACAGAGATCCACCTGCCCATGCTTCCTGAGTGCTGGGGCTAAAGATGTGGGCCAGCACACTTGGGATGCTTGTCTTTGAGACAGGGTCTCATTGGATAGACCAGGCTGGCCTTGAAATTTCTAGATTCTTAACTCATGTTTGGAGTGTTGGGTTTAAACAAATGTCTATTCTATCATCATGTCCTGCCTCACTTTTTCCGTGTGTGTGTGTGTGTGTGTGTGTGTGTGTGTGCATTCGTGCATGTGTGGGTGTGGGTGTGTTGAGACAGTCTCACTGTGCAGCCCTGGATAGCCAAGGACTTCCTGTGTAGACCAGGTTACCCTGGAACTCCCAGAGATCTACCTGTTTCTGCCCCCAGGGTGCTGGAATTAAAGGTGTGTGGCACCACACCCAATCCAAAATAAACTTTTACTGAATTTCTTTTGTAAAAATAATTAAAGATTTATTTTGTGTGTTATGTGTATAGAAATGTATGCCACAATGCACCAAAGCTTATATGCAGAGGTCAGAGGGCAACCTCTGGAGTTGGTTCTCTCCTTCTGCCATGTGATTTGGGCATTGGTTAGACATCAAACTCAGTCAGGCTTTGCTGCAAGTGCCTTTACCCACTGAGCCATCTCACCTGCCCTGTACTCTCTTTTTGAAATGTTTTGTATTATCATGTAGTAACTATATATGGTACTGGGTTTTGTTACATCTTCATACTTTTTTTTTAAACATTAAAGAATTGTGGAGTTGGAAAGATGGCTCAGTGGGTAAAACCTCTTGCCATGGAAGCATGAGGACATGAGTTTGAATCCCAGAGCCTGCATTAAACCAGGCGATGGGGAGATGGGAGCTAGAGACAGGAGAATCCCCAGAAGCTCATAGGGCAGCTAGCATGGCGTACATAGCAGAAAAAGAACAAAGTCTCAAACAAGGCAGGGACTGGCACCTGAAGCTGTGCTCTGACCTGCACATGTGCACTGGCACGTATGAACCCATGCTCATACAGACAGTCCTAGACACAAATTCCCCAAACATTAGAAAATTGTGTGGAGCCAGGCAGTGGTGGCTCAAGCCTTTAATCCCAGCACTCGGGAGGCAGAGGCAGGCGGATCTCTGAGTTCAAGGCCATCCTGGTCTACACAGCTACCCAGAGAAACCCTGTCTCAAAAAACAAAACAAAACAAACAAAAACCATAGTTGCGCGGAGATAGCACTTTTAGGGCACTGAACTAACAGTTGCAAGGGTCAGCCTCGGTGGCTACTGTTCCCATGCTTACTAGGAAAAAGCATTTGGAATCTGTTTTGTCAAATCTGGTTATATGTAGTGGGTTAGACCCTAAGAGACAAACATAAAACTTATGACTGATGGAGAGGGTATGTGGTCAAGTGCAGAGCTAAGAAATATTTCTATGGTATAGATAGAGATGTGGTCTTCAGATGGAAAAAGAGAATTGTGTGGGTGTTGTGTTTTCTGTCAGGGCTTGAGGGAAGCTGCTCATTTTCCTCTGCCGAAAAATCTAGAAGAGTTTGCAGCAATGGAAGGAAAATGAGAAGGTAACTGGTCCCTGGCCTTGCTTGAAGGACAGGCATGAATAGTCAGAGGGGCTGCTGGGGTAGTTCAGTGGTAGGACACTTGCTTAGCATGCACAGAGCTGTGACTTTGATCCCTAGCACCGGCAAGAAAACAAGAGTATGGCATTCATGAAAGCAGAGACTGGGTGGTTTGAGGCATGTGACCTTGGCTAACAAAGCAGGTGGATTGATTTCTGACCCTGGTATTGTCCTTCAGCTCTTTCCTCTTCAAAAGTCCCTTCCTTCCCTGGCAAGAACAGTCTGGGGCATGAGATGCTGGCTGCCGCACTCCTAAAGGCCAAGTCCCAGGTAAGCCATGGTTCCCTTCATTCTTTCCCTTCCTGGTTTGTGGATAGATTTTGTAGAGTGATGTATCATTTAGTGTCCTAAACTCTAATTCTGTCCATCAAAACCATGGTTCTGAGGCCAGTGAGATGACTCAGCGGGTAAAGGTGTTTCTGCTAGCTGGGTGTTGGTGGCGCATGCCTTCAATCCCAGTATTCAGGAGGCAGAGGCAGATGGATCTCTGTGAGTTCAAGGCCATCCTGGTCTACAAATCGAAGTTTTAGGACAACCAGAGATATACAGATATATCCTATCTCAAAAAGCAAACAACAAAAAAAGTGGTGTTTGCTGCTAACCCTGCCAGCCGAGGTCCACATGTTAGAAGGAGAGAGCTGACTATCACAGACTGTCCTCTGACCTCCAATTGTGTGCGTTATCCCTCCCCAACACAAGTAAGTGTTAATAAAAAGTTATGACTGTTATGGACTCTTGGAAGGCAGTTACGCTCATCACTGTACTGAAAATGCTGCACCCTGTTTTGGATGCTCATGCTGCTGTTGCTCTGGCCCCTCCCACATCCCAAAGAGGTATTACTCAGCCCCATCCTGCTTGCTGTTTGGTGCTGCCAGTCCTGACCCTTGTCCTGAAACTGCATGTATGGCCATGTGACCATTTCAGGAGTTGGTGACATTTGAGGATGTAGCTGTGTATTTCATCTGGAAAGAGTGGAAGCGTTTGGAACCTGCTCAGAGGGACCTCTACCGGGATGTGATGCTGGAGAATTATGGGAATGTGTTCTCACTGGGTAAGGACTTGTACCTCCCCAGCAGAACATGCTACTTTCTCTAGGCTTCAAAGTTTGCTAGTGGCAGTAGAAAACTTTAATAATGGTGCTGGTGGTACGCCTTTAATCCCAGCACTTTGGGGAGAGAGGCAGGCGGATCTCTGAGTTTGAGGCCAACATGGTCAACAAGAGCTAGTTCCAGGTCGGCTTCCAGAAGTAACACAGAAACCCTGTCTCAAAAAACCAATAATAATAATAATAATGGTGCCGGAGAGTTGGCACTTTCTGCTCTTGCAGGAGACCTAAGTTCAGCTCCCATTACTTGCATAGAAGCTCTCAATTGTAACACCATTTCAGGGGATCTGAAGCCATCTTCTGGCCCTTGATGGCACCAGATATACACATGGTGCACACATGCATGCAGACAGTTAATGCCCATTAAGAAAAAGAAAATTAGTAACAGTAAGAATGATAACTCACATTTCCCTGCATTTAATCCTTGCAACAACTCCATAGTTGAGGTGATTAGTATTCTCATTTTATAGGTGTGGAACATGAGGTCAAGAAGCACAAAATCAGGGCTGGAGAGTTGGCTCAATGGTTAAGAGCACTGACAGCTCTTCCAGAGGACCTGTATTCTATTCCCTGCACCCACACAGCAGCTCAAACCTTCTGTAGTCTCAGTTCCTAGGAATCTGATGCCATTTTCTAGCCTCCACAGACACCAGGCATTATGTGATAACACATACATGCAGGCAAAACACTCAAATATTGAAAACAAACAAAAAGACCCTAGGAAGCCACTTGGGCATGGTGACATATACCTGTAATCTCAGCACTTGAGAAGTAGAGGCAGGTAGACCAGCTGTTACATGCTCACTACATAATGGGTTTGATACCACCCTGGGCTGCATGAGACCCTGCCTCAAACAAGCAAGCAAACGGACACGTTTTGGATGGTGATAGAACTTGTAAATGACAAAGTTTGAGCTCCAGTGTTTTTTCTTGTTATTTATGTCTTTGGATCTCTGTCTGTCTGTCTGTCTGAGACAGGGTTTCACACTGCAGCCTAGGCTGGCTGTAACCCAGTAAGTAATCCTTGCACTTTAGCTTCTCTAGTGCTGGGGAATAGATATGAGCACCACATCTGGCGGAGCCCCACCCTATTAACACCAAACCTGGTGCTTTAGCCATCTATTTTGGGAACTTTTAATATATCACTCAGACTTTCCTGAAGGATTAGTATGTTGGGATTCCTAAACATGAAAAGTGGTGCTCTGTGTCTAAGTGAACATTCTAGAGCTCTGCATCCTTCCTTCATCTTGGATTACTCCAAGGACCTACTGTTTTCTCCAGGAGCTTATATATCTCATAGAAACATGTTGTTTTGGTGCTGGAGAGATGGCTCAGGAGTTAAGAGCATTGCTGCTCTCTCAGAGGGCTACAGTTTAATTCCTGCCAGCCACAGCAGGAGACTCCAAAACTACTGGTAACTTCAATTTTAGGGGATGGAGGTGGGGCTGAGGCCTTCTTCCGGCCTCCAGAAACACCTGCACATAAGTAGACACACACATATACTTTTAAAAAGAAATGTATTGCTGGTATATACCTTTAATCCCAGCATTTGGGAGGCAGAAGCTGGTATGAATTCAAGGCCTTCCAGAACAGCCAGCCAAGGCTACATATTGAGACCCTGCCTCAAAATAAGTAAATAAATAAAATCAATTATTTGTCTTAAGTAGAAATTGCCTTCTTAATGCTTAGGATTAGTTAGTTAGTTGTCTCTTACCTTACTTTTTGTAAGAACATTTTCCCAAGCAGCACCAGGGCATCTCCTAACTGCCAGCTGAGATGTCCACATACATTTCTTTCTGTCCCCTGTAGACCGGGGTCTAGGTTTGTGCACTTAGTATAGCCATGTCTGCCCTATGAGCAGATTCTTCTGAGTCCTGCTACAGTCTCATGGCTGGAATGAGAATTGAGGGAATTGAGCTATGAGAAGAGAGAAGGCCTGAGAGGGGGCCTGTCCAAGTGAGTCCTTGCCCTACCTACTTTAAAAAATACCAACAAACTAAAAATACTACCTGGACCCAGTGGAATCATCTTCCATACCTAGAGTTCCCTGTAGGAACGCTGTAAATAGTGAAAACAAGGAGCCAGACATGGAGATTATTTATTTAGTCTGCTACACGACATCACCTTCCTGGTTAAGGTTCAGAGCTGGGCTAAACTGTTTTGTCTTTGCTGGTGGCATGCATGGTTGGACTACAGACAGGTTTCTTAGTATCTGTCCTCTGCTCCTTCTTGTTCTACTGCTAGATTTCATCTCTTTTCTGCCTTTCTCTTCAACTGATAAGTTCCTTATATATTTGCTCCACCTTTCAGGCTTCCTCTTTTCTGAACTTCATCTCCCTGTAGCCCAGGATGATGGGAGATGTCATTATGTATATATGTTTCTCATACTGGTTAATGAATAAAGCACTGTTGGCCAATAGGAAAGGAAGATAGGAGGGACTAGGAGACAAGGAGGAAAGAGGAAGTAGTAAGGAGGAGTCAAGATGGAGAGTCTGGAGAGAGCAGATGCCGGCCCTTCTCCACGGTAAGATAAGACCACGTGGAAATACTTAAATTAACAGAAATGGGTTAATACTTAAGACAGAGCTAATGGTTAAGAAACTAGTAACTGGCCAACAGCATTAATATCAAATACAGAATCTCTGTGTGTTATTTGGGGCTGTCGCGGCGGCGGGACAAGACCGGTGGCGGGAAAAAACCATACACCTTACACCAGGCTGACCTCAAACTCATGGTCTTCATGCTTCAGCTACTCTGTGCTGCAATTAATAGACACCTTTCAGCTCTCTGCCATTTTTAAATTTACTTCACCCGTCTTCCTTCTCCTTTATTCTTACTGTCTTCCCAGTCACGTCTATCGCCTCTGACCTGTCTGAAAACTTCAGTGCCTCATTGAGTAACAAGTCTTTCTAACCCAGGCTTGCTTTGTTTACTCTTTTATGTGTATGAGTGCTTTGCTTGCATGTGGTGTGTGCACCACATGTGTTCCTGGTGCCTCTGAAGGTCAGAGAAGAGCATCAGATCTTCCGGAACTGCAGTTACAGACAGTTGTGAGCCTCCTCCGTGTGGGCATTGGAAATCAAACCCATGTCCTCTGCAAGAGCAACCAAGTACTCTTAACCGCTGAGCCGACGCTTCAGCCTCCCTTACCTAGTTTTTGTTTCCAACAAAGTAGACCATCTCCTCCCATCCCCAGCATATCCTTGACTTCCCCAAGGTTCACGTCTTTTCTCTCTGACTTTCTTTCTGACTTTGCTTTCTCTCTTGTTCCTTCTCTATTTCTTTAGCCCATTTGTCCTACTTTGCTTTAGTTCTGTGTACAAATTGGAAGGGACATGTGCTTTTAGTACTAAAAATGTCTGACTTTTATTCTTTTTCTCACAAATAACATAGGAATCACTTGGATTCTTTTTTCTTTCTTTTCTTTTTCTTTTTTTTTTTTTTTAATTGTGCTAGATGGTGAATCCAAAACTGGAAATGACCAAGTAATCTCTGAAGGCATAGGGTCACCTGAGATGATATTGGGAAGATTTGAAACGGGTGTTTCTCAGGGTCTTACGTTTGGAGAAGCCTATGAACAAGAAGTCAGCCTGAAGAGACAGCGAGGGACCTCCTCTGTTGGAAGACTGAATCAGAAAATACAGGAGTTTCACCAAGTGACAGTTGAGGGAAAGCTCACCCATATGGGACAAAGAAATGACAAGTATAATGAATTTGGGAACAGCTTCACTGTGAATTCCAACCTTATTTCACATCAGAGATTTCCCATGGGACACAGACCCCACAAGTGTGATGAATGTAGCAAGAGTTTTAATCGAACTTCAGACCTTATTCAGCATCAGAGAATTCATACTGGGGAAAAACCATATGAATGTAGTGAGTGTGGGAAGGCCTTCAGCCAGAGTGCACACCTTATTCAGCACCAGAGAATCCACACTGGAGAGAAACCTTATGAATGTAAAGATTGTGGGAAGACCTTCAGTTGTAGCTCTGCCCTCATTCTGCACCAGAGAATCCACACTGGGGAGAAGCCTTATGAATGTAATGAGTGTGGGAAAACATTTAGTTGGAGCTCCACTCTTACTCACCATCAGAGAATCCACACTGGTGAGAAGCCCTATGCTTGCAATGAATGTGGGAAGGCTTTTAGTAGGAGTTCAACCCTCATTCATCACCAGAGAATCCACACTGGAGAAAAACCCTATGAATGTAATGAGTGTGGGAAGGCCTTCAGCCAGAGCTCACATCTGTATCAGCACCAGAGAATCCACACTGGAGAGAAGCCCTATGAATGTATGGAATGTGGAGGGAAGTTTACCTATAGTTCAGGCCTTATTCAGCATCAGCGAATCCACACAGGGGAGAATCCCTATGAATGTAGTGAGTGTGGGAAAGCCTTCAGGTATAGCTCCGCTCTTGTTCGCCATCAGAGGATTCATGCTGGAGAGAAGCCTTTGAATGTAATGGGTGTAGGCAGAAATTCTCTCAGAGTTTCTTCTGAATTAAACAGCAGAGAATCCACATGAGAGAGCCATATACCATTTTCCTCACTTCCTGAGACTAAAGCGCTCTTGCCTTACTTCATCAATAGGGCCAATTTAGGCTGTGTCCCACCTCCAACCTTTCACTCAGAGAGGGGTCCAGATTGGGAAAAACATCCTGGCATGGTGATCGGCAGGATTTCCCAGGAATGCATACCAGTCTTGGAAAATTGTGAGGCAAGTAGCAAACTAAGCACTGGGAAAAGGAGGAAGCTTGGGGACCAGTCACCCCTTTTTGGGAAGGGGTTTGCACTAAACCACTTTTCTCACACCAGAAGAGCCTTTCTTTCCAAGGTGGGGATGGAAGCTTATTAGCAACAAAATTCCAAGGATTCCACTAGTTGGAGTCAGTCTGGTGAGCACAGAAGGCACAGAGAATATTCTGGGTCATCGTAAGCTCTGGGATAGGAAACAAGCTGTATTTTTTTCTTTTTTTTGAGACAGGTCTAGCCCTGGCTGTTCTTGGACTCACTGTGTAGATCAGGCTGTCCTTGAACTCAGGGAGACCTACCAGCTTTTGCCTCCTAAGTGCTGGGATTAAAGGCATATATACAACCATGCCAGGCCCTCAGGGGCGCATTCCAAAGCCACGCTTCCTAATCCAGGTTTAAGATTGGAGAAGGAATATGCTTTGGTACATGACTTCATAAATTCAGGAAACTTGGTGCTAATAGGTTCATTTTATTGGGGGTGGGGTGGGGGAAGGACCCCAGCAAGGGTTTCTGTGATGACTCTTCTTGGAGCTCTTGGAGCAGTGATAACAGGTTTCCAAGAGCAGTCTGGGGTTAAGAGCACTGGCTGCTCTTTTCAGAGATCCTGAGTTCAATTCCCAACAACCACATGGTGGCTCACAACCATCTATAATGAGATTTGGTGCCCTCTTCTGACGTGCAGTCATGCACGCAGACAGAACATTATATATAATAAATACATAAATCTTTAAAAAAAAAAAAAGGTCTGGCAATACTGTAGACAGACCCCACATCCTCCTTTGTAATAGGACTGACTGGAAATCCCATTGGAGCAGTAAATAACCTGAGGTAGATCAGAAGCATTTAATACTGGCCTGACTCCTGGTGAAAAGTAATTTGATGTCAACCTGTAGTTATTAAGGATGCTGTTAGGGAACTTACCTACCCAGCTTGTCCTACCCTCTTACCTCTAACATCTGGCCTCAGCAGCTGGGCCTCTCTGGATTCCATCTGACTACAGTTACTTTGGAGTATACCAACAGCAAGGCCAGAGAGGCACTGAGTCCCAAGCTTGACAGCAGGGCTCCTTGCTGGGTTCAGATGGTGCGCCGACCAACAGATGGCTTTCCATATTTTTCCAGTCCTGCTCATCCTGTAGCTTAAATGAAATGCACTATTAAACAGACTAGTCTTTCAGAAGGGAGATGGAGTGTGTGTTTGTGTAGGAATAATCAAATTATGTAGTTAAAGCAGCATAGTAACCATAAATGGAGTCCAAAGACAAACTTTTGGCATTTTTCATTGATAACCATTGTTTTTTGTTTTTTGTTTGTTTATTTTGTTTTGGTCACAAATGTGAAGTTTTCCTGTCCCACACAGCTTGTAGACATTGTTGTAGACTATATAAATGTCTGCAGCTATTCCCACCTTCATAACGAATTCAAATTTTATGAATTGTAGACCATTTTGTGTGGTAAAATGTCTAAGACTGACGATGAAAACTAAAAAAGGTGTACTTGGCTCTTTTGTAGCAATGGGCATATCTCTGTCTTGGTTTGGTTTTTTAGAAGGATATTATGGGAATGGGATGAAGAGGTTGACATTAAGAGGGCTGTAAACTCCCAGCACTTGGGAGGCAGAAGCAGGTGGATCTCTGTGAGTTTAAGAGCAACCTGGTCTACAGAGCTAAGGCTACACAAAGAAACTCTGTCTTGAAAAATAAAAGTAAAAAAACTGGCCATGAACTCACTTTTATTTTTTTCTTTTTGGTAGAGTATGATAGATGGTAGATCATCTATTATGTGCCTTCATCATCACAAATTTTTGGAACTGATCCTTTTAGATCCTTTAACATTTGTTGCCAGGCCTGGTGGATGGTTCTGGCCTCTGATCTCAGCTGCTTGGGAGACTGATGGAGGAGGCTCACAAGTTCCAGGCCTGCCTGCACTACAAAGTGAGTTTAGGTCAGCTCGGACAAGTTAGTAAGGAGGCCAGTCCATTGTTGTCTAATTACGGGAAATTAAGCTGAGCCAAGTCTGCTCCTCCTCAGTTATATACAACTAGCTTCTAATTCTGCTTTTTCAAGCAGCACAATTCTTGATCAAATAAAACTTGGAAGAACTTTTTTTTTTTTTTTTTTTTTTTTTTTGAGACAGGGTCTCACTGTATATCCCTGGCTGTCCAGGAACTCACTCTGTAGACCTTGTTCAGGCTGGCCTTGAACTCCCAGAGATCTGCCTGGCTCTGCCTCACAAATGCTGGGGATAAAGGCATGGGTCACCATCACTCAGCTTGAAGAACATCTTCATTCATAGCAAAAGAGGTTGTTTTGCTGGGGACCTTTGCCTGGGGATCAAATCCAACATCCCTTTTGTGCTGGGCAGAAACTGAAGTACCTCAGCCCAGAAAATTTTTTTGCATATATTTTTGGTGTGTGTATTCATGTGTGCATACACATGCCATGGCATGCATATAGAAGTCAGAAGTCTGCTTGTAGGAGTTGGTTCTCCTGCAGTGTGGGCTCCAAGGATGAAGCCAAGGTCATCGGGCCTGACAAGGGCAAGTGCCTTTACCAGTGGAGCCATCTCTCTGATCCTGGAATTTTATTCTGTTTGCTTTTGTGGTTTTATTTTTGAACCAGGACTGACTTTGAACTGATCCTCCTCTGCCTACCTTCCAAGTGCTGGGATTATAAGCATATGCTACCATACCTGGCTAGGAATTTGTTTTTGAATGCCTTCAATCTCCAGTGACATCTTTGAGATCCAATTCACTTGATTCTGGGAAGGTATATTATGAATAAAGTTTCTAAGTACGCCCAGAGCCCAGTTTCGTATGCACTTTTCAGGTAACAGGATGGGCCATGCAGTGGTGATGGGCATCACACTGGATTGTTTCTTAGCAAACAACATAAAACAAAAACAAGAAGAGATTGCTCTGCTTTGTGTTTTAGGTGGGATCTTGCTATGTAGGCCAGGCTATCTTTGAAATCAATCTTGCTGCAACCTTTTTTTAAATTCTGGAATTACAGATAAATCTGTCATACCCATGGAATTTGTTGTTGTTTTTATTTTTTAGTTTTTGTTTTGTAAATTGCTTTAGGCAGTTGGGTATATTTTTATTTTTTAACTTGAAAAGAAACAAGTGGGGGGAAGGATGGTGGCACATTCCTTTATTTCCAGCACTCAGGAGGCAGAGGCAGGTGAATCGCTATGAGTTCAAGGTCAACCTGGTCTACAGAGTGAGTTCTAGGACAGGCTCCAAAGCTACACAAAAAGCCCAGGAATTAAAGGTTCTTTTGCTTTATTCTTATTTATATCTGAGTGAGGAAGCTGTACAAGGGCACCAGATCCCATGGATCTGGAGTTACAGGTACTTGTAAATTGTGTGGCATGGGTTCACACCTGTCAGACTTAGTTGCTGTAAAAACTGTCTTTACTGTTGTATTGCTACTAAGAGACACCATGACCAAGGCAACTATTATAAAATAAAGCATTTAACTGGGGGCTTGCTTATAGTTGTAGAAGGGTAGTCCATGATAATCATGGCAGAAAGCAGACAGGCGTAGCACTAGAGCAGTAGATGAGAGCTTTACATCCTGGTCCACAGACAGACACTTTTGAAATCTCAAAGCCCACCCTCAGTGTCATACCTACAACAAGGCTGCACCTCCTAATCCTTGCCAAACAGTTCACTGGGGCCTAAGCATGCAAATACATGAGCCAATGGGTCTCTCCAAGCTAAGAATGATAATTCTTAGGACCAACTGCCTGTTGAGGCACGTTACAAACATGGGACTTATCCTCATCCCTACAGCTCCTCATTCAACACCTGATCCATCCCTTGTTCCATATTCCCACCTTGGCCTTTATTAACTCGTCCAGGACTTTGGTATCAGGCTCACAGTGGGTCTCTGCATTCTTTCTCTTACACACTTTTCTTTTTACCCACCTACATTAGTTACTGTACTGTTGCCCTGGCCAAATAACTAACAGATAAAATGAGCAAACATTAATCTTGGCTCAGTTTCACAGACTACAGTACACAAATTCTGGGACCTCTTTTCCTTTGTCCCAGTTATTCATTTATTATATAAATTGAGTAGTACATGATGAATTAACATTACCCCTCCAGATATGGGAACCTAATAGATGAGGTCAGACATTTTAGAATCTGTTTGTTGCTTTCACGGCTGCAGATCTTTAGATTTAAGCTTGAAGTATTAGACCATCAAAGCTATTCCTGACCATCAAAGCTATTCCTGTCTGTGGCCAGTACATAATTCATTCTACCTGTGACACCCTAAAAATTGAAATACAGGGTTTGAGAGATGCTTTCATGGGACTTGAGTTTGGTTAGCAGCACTCATGCAGAAGCTCATAATCACCTCTAACTCCAGCTCCAGGGGATCCAGTGCCCTTTTCTGCCTTCTGCTGATTACCTGCACACACATGGGTACACAGACATAAACAAATCCTTCTAAGAACATTGAACTGGATTCTTTCTGGCCCTGCCATGACTTCAGTGACTTAAGGTTTCTGTGGGAGATGGCAGAAGGATCATTTACTGAAAGGAGTTAATGCTAGTCCCTGGAGGTCTTTGTGGTACTAGAATCTACTCCATAAATCTGAACAGATAAGATTTGAATAAACAGTGAAACAAAAAAGTGCTTTGTCTATGCCACAAATCCACAGCTAATGTCCTTCAACAAAGGACCCTGGCTGAAAGCCAACCCTTGACTCATGGGGCTGAGCAACATGGCAGTGGGGATGTGTGGAGGAGAAGGTTCACTTCATGGCACAAGGAAGACAGGAAAGATGGCATCTGGGACTAGGTATCTTCTATGAATGAACCCTGCCACCCACTTCCTTCAGCTAGGCTTCATTTCCCAAAGTTTCCACTATTTCCCCAAATGGTCACACCAACTGGAGACCAAACACAACACATGAGCTAATGGGGAGATATCATACTCAGTGTGTGAATTGTCATACTGACAGCATGTCAAGTGTATTTCTGTGTTTCCTCCCCAGAATTATGTTAATTTTTAAATACTTACTAATTCCTTATGTGTGTGTGTGTAGTGAGAGGTCACATGTAGAGGCCAGAGGACAACTTTCAGAAGTTGATTCTCTCCACTCCCTGGGTCTAAGTGATCAACCTGAGGTTGCTATGCTTTGAGGCAAGTGCTTTTCCAGGCTGAACCATCTCACTGCCTAGAAGTCTGTATCATGCCATAGGCTTTGTTTGTTTGTTTGTTTTTTCTTCACTTCTCAGCCCTGCCTACTTCCCTGCTCTCACCACTTGGCCCTCTTTTTACTCCTTCACAGTCTTCCTTCCTGCCTACAGCCCTTGCCTTGATGATACAAACACACCATAGTTACAAGAACATCATGCAATGCCTCTGTGGCACCTGCTCTTCCTGCGTGTTCTTCCATTCTACCTAAGGAATTCCTGTGAGAACTTTACTGCATGTTTCATTATTTTGTTGATGGAATTGAGCCCAGCTTCATGAATTCTACTTAAGGAGGCTACCATCAAGCTGTATCTCCAGTCCCATGGTTATTATTGAGACAGGGTTTTTGGCACAGATTGGCCTTGAACTGGGTGAAGGATGACCTTGAAGTGATCCCTTCTGCCTGAGCAAGTATCACTAGGCCCTGTGATTGCTAGGTGAGCACTCTTAACACTTTGCTGAAGAGGCAAGGCTTAACTCTTCATTTTATTTTAGTGTGTTGGAGAAAGATGCTTGTTAGCCAGGTACCCCACCCACAAAGGGCTAACAGCAGAAGTACATAGCTCCTGTAATTCGGGAGGTCTAACGTGAGACAAACACCACGGGATTGACTAACCTGGGGGATGCAGACTTGCAATTCCAACTTCTTAGGAAGGTAGGAAAAAATGGGAGGATTCAAGTTCAATGTTAACTTGAGCCAACTTAAAAAGAGCTGAAGATGCCAGGTGTTGGTGGCGCACGCCTTTAGTCCCAGCACTCTGGAGGCAGAGGCAGGTGGTTCTCTGTGAGTTCAAGGCCAGCCTGGTCTACAGATCAAGTTCCAGGACAGGCTCCAAAGATACAGAGAAATCCTATCTTGAACGTCCCCCTCCAAACAAACAAACAAATATCTTCCTTCTTCATGTGTATTGTTGAGATATGGTTTCTGTGTGTGGCCCAGGCTGCTCTCAAATTCAAGAGATCCACCTACC